AGAGGGCAGCGTTACCAGAGTTGCCCATTTACCACACCTTGTTACAGCACAGTAGGGCTATTGCAAACAGTGCGACCTGATGCAGCCCCTGAAGTGAGACACAGGAAACAGAAATACTGCAAAATAATAATAATAACGCGACTAAACGAGACGAAATAACGTTATAACATTTCGTTTCGTCTCGTTTTGGTCAACGAAAATGAAGAGACATTTTAGCATAGTTTTTATTTTGTAAACCACATTTAATCTCGTTTTTATTCGTCAACAATATTGCATTATACATTTAATTATAGTCATCGTCACATGACCAGCATTTTTGTTGCGTCTCGTCTCGTTTTCGTCACTTGATAAAGGTTCGTTGACGACGATATTTAGTCATAATTTTCGTTGACGAAAGCAACACTAGCTGACAGTTCTGTCATATTGCATGGTTAACTGATTTGGCAGGTAAGTAGAATTTGGGCGAAAGTGCACATCTGCTTCCCTGTGACTGAGATATGTTTATAGCAGTAATTGTGAGTGGAAATATAAATATTTCTATCGATTCTTGAGAGATGAGACAAAACATGCACCTGCGAATAGTTTTTAAAATAACAATTAAACAGAGATATTAATCAGAGGTAATTTACTTGAATGTTCTCAACACATGTAAACACAAATGTAAAACTAAAACAAAAATAAAGTTAAACGGAAATATTTAACAAAAACAAATTAATAAATACAATATAGGCACATAACAAAATGACAAACTTAAATTAAAAAGAAAAATTGTAATATTAAAATAAAGGCCAATTAAAAATATTAATAAATACCACAATAGCACAAAAATATTACTAAAATAACACTGCTACTTAATGTAGTTAAAAATGTATATTTACTTTCACTTTTTATGAGTTTCGACAAAGTCACACAAGCTCTGGTGAGGCTTTTTAACTTTATTTTTTTAACTTAAAAAAAAATATATATGATTACATTTTCTGGTGTCAATCATAATACACAGCACCAACTCCACCACACAAATTTAAAAGAAATGTTGGTATTTTTAGATAATTTGTCTAATTTTATATAGGTTCTTTTAGTAGTTAACAACACCAATAAAAAATAGCTAGGGTATACAATACATGTAAAAAATTGACAGAAACAAGAGGTTGCAATAAAATCTAAATAAACAGTTTATTTCATCTTCAAGAATCGGCTAAAAACACATCTCTTCCATCTTTATTTGACCCTCTAACTCTAGCACTCTCTATTCTAATTCTATTCTTTAAAAAAACTTGCCCCTTTTAGACTTGCACTCAAAAAAAAAAACACTAGCTTCTCTAATCTTTTTGTATTCTATCTATTTGTTTTCTTTTTATTTATTATATAATTAACAAAAGCAAAAAAGGCCTCTAACACTAGCTTGCTCTATTCTTTTTCTATTCTATCTGTTTTCTTTTTATTTATTATATAATAATAAAAAAAATTTAAAAAACTCGCTACGTGTACTGCGTTAAGCTAACTGAGACTTGTTATAGCACTTTGCATATCATTGCTCTCTTGTTGATTTTGATTGCTTCCATTGTCCTCATTGGTAAGTCGCTTTGGATAAAAGCGTCTGCTAAATGATTAAATGTAAATGTAAATAGTTAGATAAATACAATAATTAGTTACATTAATCACATTTTTTTTTTTTTTTCATTTCTGTAGCCTGATTATGATCAAGAATTATAGTATGACATTCATAAACACTCACTCTTGAGGAGAGGACAGAGGGGCCTGTGTCTGGTTGCCCAAATTGTTATCGAAGGTCATTGGTTCAACCAGGGACAAGGGCTGGAACTGCTGAGACTCAGGAAGCTCCAGCTTGGCCAGACCTGAATCAAAGGAGACAAAAAAAAAAGTCTTACTTCTCCCCTTGGTTAACTAATCAAACTGTTTCTGTTTTCAAACATGGTGACGCATTCAGTCCTGCACCTGTGTTGGTGTTGAAAGAGTTGAGGCTGGTTGGATTGGCAAAGGGGCTGCTGCTCTCCTTGGGTGACTGAAACAGGTCTGTCTGCCCAAGATCCGGCACCTGGACCTGACCCTGGTTTGGTGTAGAGGGGTCGCAGAACTCAAAAGAGGACTGATTTGAGAGGTTTGATCCATCAGGGAATGCTACAGAGAGATGGAGAAGGAAAAAGCAGTAATTGAGGACTTAAGATAAATGAAATATTATGAATTGTATTATTACTCCAGTGAAATGGGCCTCGCCTCTGCTTGATGTTCCTGGTGACTCTCTCTTCACATTCAACCCGATGGAAAGGTTGTCCTCACTGGGCTGGACGAGCACTGGCTCCTCTACTGCTTTACCTCCCACCGAGCTTCTCAAAGTGGGCAAGAGCTGGTTCAAAGTGTCCAGATCGGTACTGGGAAACTGCTACTCATGTACACACACACAGAGTTGGAATGGAAATGATAGCAAAGGTCATCAACATCAAAAGGCACACCAGAGCACAAGAAAGACAAAGTCCACACGTGACTCCCCTTAAATCAGCTCATGAGTAAACGCAGCAAGAGTAAGGCCTACAAAATATTAGTGATGCACTGAAATTTGGCTGCCGAAAATTATTGGCCGAAAGAGAAATATATTTTATATTTAATGTTAATATATTTTCTGTCCCGATTTTATTGCGTTCATTTCAATAAAAGTGTGGTTATTTTATTGGCTAAGTTTCTTTAAATTCAGTATCAGTAAAATTGTTGATTTAAATTAAAAAGTCTTACAAAATGACTTTATATTATTTCATAAAATAAATAAGTATTACAAAGAATTTTCGGTTTCGGTCCAGAACTTTCATTTCGGTGCATCCCTACAAAATATATTATTAATATTCATGCTAGAGTTCACGCTAAAGCTGGTTTAAAGCTGGAATTTATTTTCATGAAAGACAGATATTTCCTGTGACATGAATGATGAGATATGGGCATGTCCAGCCTCAAAGGTGAGAAAAGTTTGACGCAATGCAGTGACTACCAATGGATGTGAAGACATCAGAGTTTTGGAAAGTTGAAAAAGTTCAGGGTACTGTGAGCAATTATACTATTCAATATTGATATTTGCCCACATAAAGCAATATAATAAAATAAAAGATATTTGCCCACATAATTGATTAAAATATGCAAAATTGTATCAAACATTTTTAATATTAACTTAAATCATGTATCAACATCCAACAAAAACATCTGAAAACTGACCTTGCTGTAAAAACCTGAGCTTCTGAAACAACAATATAAGTACACTGTTGCAATACAATGCAGTGAATTCTTTATACTTTTTTCAGTATTTTTTTTTCATTAAAATTGTTTAAGTATTGTGATGATGTGCATTTTTCACCTCATTCTCATTACCAGTTATAGAAATAAAAAGTAAATTTGCTGCTGAGATTAATAGTGAGAAGCAGTAAATGGTCAAAATAGACTTTTCTTCCATCGGCCAAACATCCTATTAGTGGTCAGATTTTCAGGAGTAAAAAGGACGTTAAGTAACACAGTAACATGCACATAGAAAAAATGCTTAAAAACATTTTTCCATAATGTACTTAGATTTATTCATTAAGTACAAATAATGAAATAAGGATGTAAATACCGGGCTGGGCTTGTCACTGGATTGAGGCGAACAAGCGACTGCAGACACGGTGGTAGCGGCAGCAGCAGCAGCGGCACAGAGCACATTCTCTCTGCTCCCTTTCTTCTCTGCCTTTACCTTGACAGTATGGAGGCTGAGGATGGCCGGAGGCGGCAAGTCCTCCAAGTCCTTTTCATCCGTATCCAGCAGAAAGCGTAGCAGCTGGTGGTCCTGGGTTTCCTTCCCAAGTCCCCGTGCCACCAAGGCTGTGTTGGGACTTGTCGGAGGCTCGTTCTTAATGTCGTGCTCCTTGCCTGCATCTGCAGGGCTGCTGTCCTGGAGCAGGCGGTGCAGAATCTTATGCCGCTCAGTCAGACTGCTGTGAGAAGCCGGACACTGGGCCATGGGTGCGGGACGGGGTTGGGAGTCATGTTCAGGGGCACCGTCCAAGAGCTGGTTAAGTTTGAGGTTGCCCACCGCAGCAGCTTTAGGCTCATCAGCGGATGCTTCCGGCGGTTTGGCCGGGGGCTGACGTGCTGGGGAGCTGCTGGGGGTCGGAGTCTGTCTGGGGGGTAAGGGAGAGGGGAGAGAGAAACTGACACTGTCACCGCCAGACTGCTGCCTGGTCAGTCCGCCAGCGGGCGAGTGGATGCTGGGCGCCGAGGGGGAAAAAGGATGGCCGGGCACACGTGGGCTGCTGGCCAGGCCCGGGCTGCCCCGTGGAGGTCGAGGCGACATGAATGAGGTAGGGGTGGCAGTGAGAGGGCTGCCAAGTGCAGAGGGGCTGCTGACCTGCTGGGAGGGCCCAACGCGGCCAGGCGTTAGGTAGCCTGGTGGAGTGGGTGTTGGGGGTCCAGGAGTGGCACAGGTGCCATTGCTGTTGTTGAGATGGAGGCTGAGGTCACTGGAGGGCTGCAGGGCAGGTGAGCGGGAAGGTGGGGCAGCAGGAGACAGAAGGCTGGGGGTAGTGTTTTCCTGAGAGCTAGCAGTTTTGTGTTCCCTAAAACACACATTCAATCCAAAAAAATAAAATATATATATACACATTTATATATATACACAATAATAGTCATTATTGTGTGATATGCTCCAACCCTCTACATTGCGAGTAAATCACTCGCATATGCGACTAAATGATGTCTAATATTAGCCGATGGCTAATAAATTCTCAGATTTTACTCGCCAGTGTGTGAGTTGAAGGCTAAGTATAAGTTTAGCACAGATATATTTTCACTCGCCGAACACTCTCAGACTGAGCGCTTCAGAGTTTCACTCTCCGTCAAGCGATCTGTGCTATTTTTCAGT